AATACACACCAATGATATATAATAAATAATGTTTGCTTGTGGGAAATTTATGATCTTTTAAGTTTCTATACATGTATTTGTACAGTGTGATTCAGAATATACCAGTTAAAACAGGTCAGGCAGTGAGGTTCTTTTTCTCAGATGTAATTCAGCAAAATAAAAAAATACTGCAACAAGATTTTTTATTACATTATTTGAAAATGACCAGTATGCTAATGACAATTTGTTCAGGTAAAACAAATGGTTTAGCTATAAATGATCTATGCATGCTGTGCCTTTAGTCTCTTGGATATATTCCCAAATTGCTTAGTCACCACGCAATGTCTGTATTTTTGTTTATATGTTCATTATACATAATGACTGTAATACATAAGAATTAGATGTTATTACATTATTCTTGAAAAGAAGGATAATGCTTTTGTCAGTGAAGAGTAACATTGCTCTTTTCATTTAATGGCCCCTTTATCTGGGGGACCAGGTTTTTTTTTTCCTTGATCATATTTCTATTTAGTATTTTCTCTTCTCAAGGAAAAAATGTTTTCTTTCATGATTAGCCTTCATAACAGACCAAATATATTGCCTCCCTGCCATCTACTGTTGATACATGCTGTCATTTGACATTCTGAATTACAGATACGTGGCATTTGAAATCTATATAACTTTGAAAGTAAAAGAAACCAAACAGTACTTAAACTTCTTATATTATGTACTTCAAATAATTATATTTTAGTTTAAATTTAGACTTATTTAGAATCGTCAATTCAGATAATAATAAAATCTTATTTTTCTGTAAACAGTTGAATGAATAATTAGACCATATTCTGGTATGTACAAAAATATTTAAGACTTACCTTAAAAATTAATTTCTTATGAGCCTCCTTGCTGTATTGTTTTACTTTTCTGTACATATGTGTGAAACCAACTACTGTAGAAAACAATCTATTAGAAAAATTTGCTTTATTTTTACTTGCCAATAGTCTTATTTGAAATTTCTACTCCAAATTATTTTTTAAAATTAGTCTTTCATGCAAACATAAAAACAAATCATTTGATTTTAAATAGTCAAAATTTCCAGATTAATAGTAAAAAATTTATCTGAAAACAAATTTTGGGGTAATAATCCTATAAATATGGTATCATTACTATACAGTTTAAAATTGTAGCAAAATATATGCTTAATATTTCTGACCTATGTTAATTTTCTGCTGTATTTCATTTGACCAAAACAGTGTTGAGTGCATCTTTATGGTGCTAATTGCTCACAGAAGTAATCTGGTAATGGACTACATAGGATGTTTACAATGAAGCTATAAGTTTATCTGGATTTAAAAATTTTAAGCAAACATTTACTATGTCATTTTGCTTTACCTTGAAGAACTGTAGACTTATTTCAGTTATACCAATCAGTAAGATCTTATTTATAACAAGAAATATTCCATTGAAATATTGTGTTGTAATATGGGACAATGTAAATGTTTTTCATGGTTTCTATCAATGAGAAAAGATGATAAAAGAAGGGATTAAAAAAGATCAATAAAGTGCATGGTGAGCTCAAAGAATATATAACTAAACAGATAATAGACTTAATAAAAAATTGGCAAGTTTACAGAACACATGAGTAAAAAAAAAAAAAAAAACTACATGACTGAACAAAATGATACAAAATATAAATGACCAGTTTAGTGAAGAATTCAAGTCCATAAAAAGATATGAAACAGAAATTGAGGACATTAAAACTCTAAAGTATGGGCAGCAGAAGTGATCAGTGTAAGAAAAGAGGGTCAGCACTAGAAGATAGGGCTGATCCTGGGGACCAGTTACTCAGAAATGCCTTAAACACACAAGCGAACGTTTAAAAATGGATCCAACAAGCAGGTAGATGATGCAAAGAAGACTAATCTAAGATTAAGCGGAATTAGAGAAAAATCAGAAGATAACACAAATGGCACAAAAGCCTTCTTACAGAAATAATAGCAAAAAACTTTACAAATATGGGGAAAGAAATAAACATACAGATAAGTGAGGCATACAGAACCTCAAATAGCCATCATCAGAGAAGAACTCTGTATTATAGTCAAACTCTCAGAAGTTCAACACAAGGACACAATCTTAAAAATGGTTAGAGGAAAGTAATGGATCACTTATTTAGAACTACAGCAGACTTCTCAACACAAACTTTAAAGGCCAGAAGGGCTTGGAGTGAAGTGTTTCAAGCTCTAAAGGAAACTAACTTCCAACCCAGACAGATATATTCTGCAAAGCTATCTTTACAATTTTATGGAGAAATAAGATATTTCCATGACAATGAACACCATAAGAAATGCAGGACCACTAAAGCAGAACTCCAAACAGTTCCCAAGGATATCCTAGAATGAGACAGTGAAGCTAACAATGCCAAAAACTCTAATAGAATAAATACACCATGCAGAGCAAGCAGTTAAACAGAAAGGAAAAAAGGGGACTCATCAATGGTAAAATAATGCAATGACAAGTCAATACCTTTCAGTAATAACTCAAGGTGAATGGTCTCAATTCCCCAGTCAAAAGACACAGATTGGCAAAACATTTGTATCTCCCAGATCAGAACTCATTTGTGAGTTGGGGAATTACTGTGTTAGTTAGTCCTCTGAGGAATAGCTAGCAACATTTTTCCCATTCTGTATGTTGTCTCTACTTTTGTTTCCCTTGCCGTACAGAAGTTTGACATGGTCCCATTTGTTGATTCTTGGTTATTTCTGTATAATTTGCCCACACCTATGTTTTTGAGTTTTGCTTATTTTATCTAACAGCAGATTGTTTTTGCTTTAATTTTCAGATCTTTGGCCACTTTTAACTTTGGTCCACGCTGTGGTAATGGTCTAGACTCAATCTGCTACATGTGGATAGCCAGTTTTCCATAAGTAAATGTATGTATCTTTGAATCAGTAATTCTATCTACCTGCATCAATTTGCCCAAGTAGGCATACATTATACATGTAGTAGTTAAGTTCTGGCTAATAACACTGGATAAATATATGTCTTTGGTCTCCCAACAAATTTTTTCCTGACTCTACATTTTTTTTCAAACACGATAAATGCAGAAATGAAGTTTCTTGAAGACCCTGCCTCTGAGATACAGAGGTCAGCTTGAAGCTAATGCAAGTTTTAGCTGATCCAATGCTTGCGTAACTGCTGCGTCCACAAGAGCTATTTGGGTGCCTCCTCCTTTCTAGTCACTGCTTTTCAACAAAACCCTGGTTCATGGGATGCTGAAATGTCTTGCAAGTAATGAAAGAAATGTGAAACACTTGAATTGATGTATGGAAATTCTACCAGATTTGACTGCATAGATAACTTATAAGCAATATTAAATTACAAAAAATTCAATGCACTGGTTTTTCCAATACTGATCATATCAATACAATGGCCTTTTAGTGCCATGTTAGAATTTAAACATTATGAAAGGAAATGAGTTTCATAGAAATGTATGTTATATAAATGGCAGCAAAGAGAAGCAGTGGTGCTTTCAAAGGAGCAGAAATTGAAGGAATATGAAGTGGATATTTTGATAGAAAACTCTCATAAATAAAATGGGGGGAGAAGCCTATTTCCATAGCCAGGAAACAATGTTGTAGATATATATGCACGGAACAAAATTAGGTATGCAAACATCTTCAAGGACCTGGAAACAGTGGTTACGGTTTCTCAAACCCACAAAATACAAATGTGTTCGAATGTCTGGAGACAATGTGACCTTTTTTTGCCTAATGTGAGACCGAACTTTAAGGCCAGACCAAGACAGGAGCTATATTCACGGCCAAGTGTTGGCCTGGGTACTTCGCACTGTAGATATGCAAACTAAGTATGAGTATGTTTAGGGGCTTGATTGTAAAGTAGCAGCAACTGGAAGGACATAACCTCTAGTAATCACAAGTGAGCATGTCTTAAGTGGACCAAGTACCTTCAGAATGGCAGTGTGGCTCAGAAATGACCCTGGCAGGCATAGCCATCCCAGGCAGACAAGAAGTGAGTGAGAGCAAAATGTAGCACACACACTGAACCCACCCAACCTGCCCTGAGCAAATTAAAAAAAAAAAAAAAAAAAGTGAAATTAGAAAGGCAGGGGGATGTGAGAATGACCCAAGGATTCTATGTGCATGTATAAATCTGCCAAAATGAAACTCATTAATCCACACAAACAATTTAAAAATTGGGAAAAAGTTTCCAAATATATGTATAGCAAAAAACCTGGTAGGAATTTCCCCAAAGATGTCCTTAGTGTTTGTCTTGCGGGGAGGAGATTGGGAATAAACATATTTTTCTTCTTTATACTTTTTTTAAAAGCATTTTTATTTGCAATAAAGTTTTTATAGTAAGAAATTCTTGTCTTCTGAGTCTAACCTAGCATGCTATTATCAATACACATAGGTATAGCTCAATATAGTGTGGGGAATTAAAGTTTCAATTCTTGGATTATCTGAAAATTGCTCCGTGAAAAGGATTACTCTGAACTTGGATTCATTTAAAATGTTTTTTAAGAAACAAATGCTCTTCAGTGTTCACAGATAAAGAGCAGCAAATGTACCATTCATTAGTAGGATCATAAATTAGGCTTCTTGGCAGCTCAGCTCTTGCCTCCTCTCCACATGTACGCTGCAGGCTTCCTGTCTGGTTGCACTGAGAACTCAGACCTTTTTACATGAATTGCTGTAAAATACAGGGCTGAAACCTCGCAAAATAGAAGGGTGACATGACAAACAGACTCAGGAGTCAGACACACGGTGTCCTGCCCCTGGCAAAACCAATTCTTCCGTCAGGGAGGCAGGAACTTGGTTTTTGCTCTTTTCTGTTCAAGTACTTAGGAGAACCAAAGCAAGAAATAGTTGGAAACTTGATTTTTTTATTAGAATTTTTAATGAGAAAATTTATGAAATACTAAATGGCTTTAGACATGTTTTCAAAGATTTTTTAATAATATGGAAAAACATATTCACAATCTAATAGTGTTTTTAAAAAAACAAGATATAGTTAAGATTACGATTTGTTAAAAAAAATGAATGTTGCCTCAAAACAATGGATGCAAAAAATAAGATGACATATATGACATTAATAATGATTGTTGTGGGCCAGGGACGCAGGCACAACTTGTGAAAATGAGCCAAAGAAAGCTTCTCATGACACAAGGGCAAGTTCATTGCAAAGGGCATTTTCCTTCTATCCACTGAGGGTCTGGCTCCCAGCCACTTTCCCCTTCCAGCTTGGCAAGGTGGCATCACTGTAGACTCTTCTCTGAGGAAGCATGCAACTTGGGCTATGCCTCGTCTCCACTTTGTCCTCTCCTCCGCACTGTTACTGGAGGAAACAAACTTGTCTTCAAGCAAGTTGATTCCAATCAGGAGGGTGCAACATGTGAACCCTGTGGGAACTGCACGTGGTGAAAAATTCCTGTTGTCTGAACAAAGTCTACTGCTTCTCCTGAAGATGCAGGTGAGGAACTGACTCGGACACCTAGTACCTTCTCCATTGGTCATGCTCATACTGTCTGCTTCCTGCACCAAACAGACATGAAACCAAAGAATTAACTCTTTCCAAATAGTCAAACAAAAACCTGTACATTTTTTAGCCTGCATAAAAACGGCATGCTGAGTTGTGTACAAAGAACAGAGCTTTATTCTTTCAGTTTTGGCCACCTGTCATTAAAATTTTGTTCTATAATTATTCCATTAAAGTGGAAGCAATTAATTAGGAGCTAGTGCTGTTAGTGGAAGGAAACTGTCAAAATTGTTCCTCTTAACACCAGTTCCAACCATCTGCATGATATCTAGACATTTATTACTTGCTAATGACTTTGGAAATGGAAATTCATATGCAGATGGCTCACATGAGACTTTCTGCCAAGCACACACACACACACACACACACACAAGCCATGCATGTGGCTTTTCCAGGGCTAAGTCAGAGCTTCCTTCCACAGCCCATGGCATGGTTGGCCATTTTCTGCCTTTCTGACAGACAGGGAATGCTGGGAAGAGACTCAGAGCACAGCCACTCTCCTATGATTCAAAAAAGGTGATAGTGCATCACAGCTTAAAAAAAAAATTTCAGTCCTTGTTTTCCACCAGCCTACAAAGCATGGGCTACCCAAAGTACAGCCTTATAGCACCATGCCTGATGACCCCTAGAGGTGTGAAGACTCAGGGCTCCAGCAGAAGGCAGATGGCCAAAACAAATTAACATGATGATTCCCACACCCCTGTTATCCCAGATGAGGAGAGGGAGTTGCCTTCAGAATTCCCATGGAGAAGGGAGAATGTCAAGCATCTCAGGCAACATTACAGATCCTGACTGTGGAATCTAACACATCATTCCTCCCAGCTTTGAAAACATCAGCAAGGGAAGGCTTTGGTGCCCATTTGTTCTGAGTGGGGCCGTTCTGCCTCTCTTTGAAGCTGACCACCTCAAAGGTGTCCTCTCAGGGAGGTCTTGCTTCCCCACAGCTCCCAGTTCCCCAGCTGGCCCACACTTGTCCATGCTCTGGAACTTTGCCAACTCTGGCAGTAACAGAACACTTTTATTAGGAGGCACTCTGAGTTTGCTAACACCAAGAATTTTGCCTTTTGATTCTACGTTGGAATACAAAATACAAAAATAGGACTACATTCAATGCAGGGAAAATCCAGCAAAAAATGTGCTGCCTCAAGTTCAATTGTAGTAATTAACCATGAAAAAGTAAATTATTTGATCTGGAAAACATTCCAGTCCTAATGAAAGGCTGTGCAACAGATACTTTATACAGAACATCTAGAATCAGAAAGCTAGAACCACTGACAGCACACCTGTGGACTCAGGCCCGCTGCAAACGAATGTGCACTCCTGCTCCCAAGCCACCTGGCAGGAGCACAGCTGTTCTGGTCCTGAGACCCTCACCAACAGCTCAGCACTCCACATTCAGGTCAGCCTTTTGTCCCATGACCTCTGGCGACATTCTGTGCTGTGTTCCTGTTATGATCCACCCCACAAAGAAGGGCTCTCCTTCAAAGATTTAGGTCTCAAACCAGGGAATAACCTCTCAGCAGATTTCAGGGTGTATTTGGGCAGCACAGTTTTCTGGTTCCAAGTAAGTAGAACTGCAGTGGTAAGCATGCTTCAGGGCCTTGCGGCCAGCCAGACACATACCTTAATGTCAGGCTTCAGATGCGCCCTGACATTCAAAGTGGCTTCATGGTGATGGGGTTTGTGCCATGCAGCCTGACTCCCAGCCTGGGAGGGATCCCCTTCAGGTAGCCAGGATGGAGGCAAGAAAAGCTGATGCCCTGCTGCTCACTCACTCAAGCAGCAGCACCGACTGCCTACAACCTGTGTGGCCTGGCACTGGTGTGTTTAGGACTCACTGGCTACAATCTTGTCACCGTTCTTCTGGATCAGGAAGAAATGTGTGCCTTTTGGTTATCTGGCTTTTTGTTTCTATAGTTTTGTTTCTATATTCCTAAAGAAATGTCAGAAATGAAATGCAAACTAATTGGTAGTTACGGATGAATGCACTGGATTTAAAAGCAAAACACCGGGGGATAAAGCAGAAAGCCTGGCACTATCTACATCATCACAGCACTGTGGACCAGTTCAGGAATTATCTAGTATCCAGAGAAACGTGCACTTGTGTTAGGAACCCCCCAGCCATTCAGTCTGTACTGAGTCTGTTTCATTAAGCTACTAGTTTCTGTGCGGTGCATTTAATATGCAGCAACAGGACTATGACCAAGAATTCAGGAAGGACCACGTCCTGAAGAAGAAAGACCATTCCAGGCAGAGAAGAGCATGTTTCCATAGGCTGGGCTGAGGCTATGATCACTGATGCGTATGAGAAGGAGCTGGAGAATGGCTGGAGAACGGCTGTAGGGTCACAAATGCAATGCTGGAGACACAGCCAGCACAGCTCTGCACTAAGCCTTGCCTGCCCCTTAGGTGAGATCACCAGGAGCCACACTCACTTGGCCATTGTGGAGCCTGGCCTTCCATCTCTGCATCCTTGCTGTGAGCCCAGACCCAGAGCCTGTATCTTCCTGATCTGCCACTGCATGCCTCTCAGGTCAGGCCCATGGGAGGCCCACCAGCTCTCACCAGCCAGCACTCACGTCCACCTGAAACTCCTGCTAGAGGCCTCTTGGCCTGATGTCCCTGCCAGGAGGACAGCTGCCACAGAGGTGGGGCTGTGTGGAATCACAACGGCCCTGGCCTCCCGGTGGGACCCACAGGATGAGGCTGCAACAGACCAACTCGTATGTGGACAACCCAAGGGAGGGGCTGGCCTTATGCAGGTTCTAGAGTCAGTTACTTCCTTTCTGGTGGGGAACAGTGTATCACGGTGAACACTGACCTCATACTTTAGGGAGAGTCAGTCTATCATTGTAATCTGCATGAGGAGAAATCTCTGGGCACTATTAGTATTTTCTAATAGAATCTGAGATCTAAGGAAGAAAGATTCTCCTTATCTAATTTAAACCATTGCCAGCCTGCCAAAGAAAAGCATTAAGTCAATATTTAAGGGGTTCTTCTGGGCACTTAGCCCAATGGCCATGCCCTGGGGCAGGGCCATACGGACACAGATAACCCTTGTGATTCAAGGTCAGTCAGGCCTCCCTGTATTTTCTGGCTTTATTTTGTATTTTAAAGATACAACTGATAGTGTTTTCTTTTTGTGGTACAAAAGATTGAATCCAGGGCCTTGCACAGCACTACACCACGAGCTACATCCATAGCCCTTTTACATTTTCATTTTGAGACAGGGTCTTGTGAAGTTGCTTGCCTTGAACTTGTGAACCCCCTCCCTCAGTCTTCTGAGTTAACTGGGATTATCAGCTTGCCTCACTGCACCCAGTGACAGTTTTCTTTCTGACAGAAAGAAATTTTTTTTATAAACAATTCCACATAAATAATAAAAACACTAGAGTTAATGCCAGGAAAGTAAAACTGAACAAGCTCTGGTATGAGATTCAGGAGATACAATGAAGACCCCTAGCTAGATGCTGGTTCCGCATGAATATGACACTGTGCCGTGAACACTTAAAATCTGCATGTAGGGCATGAGGAGGTAGGGGGCTCAGGACTAGAGGCAGGTCTGCCTGTGACAGGCACCCCAGGACCCTGGAATTTGCGAAGGCTGCAGCTGTCTCACAAGGCTATGTGAGGTTCCAACAAGCCAGCTATCTCTAAGACAGGGCAACTCTGGCCTGTCCCTGATGGCAGCTTTGTCGGCAATATAGCTCAGTTTCTTTACCTGCTGTTAGGTATTAGTATTCAGTACTCGCTGTCTGCCATGAAAAAACAGGATCAAAGAATCACAGAACTGAAGAACTAAGGAACACAGAGGTAACCTAGAGCAGCTGCCTGGTACAGAGGAGGAAGAGTAAGGAGAGCAATCCGGGCAATGTCCCTTGGTGGAGCCCTGATGACGTGGTGCAGCTCAGTGCACTCCTCCAGCTGGGTAAGCATCAGTCAGGGGTCTTCTCCCGGTGAGCGTCCGGCAGGTCTCTCCCCTTCCCCGTGGGTAAGCATCAAGCCAGATCTCTCCTCCAGCAGGGTGATCATGGGGGCCAAGGCTGTAGAACCACAGCTTCTTTCCCCATTCTGCCTGCCTACTCATCACCTGCCCTCACCTTCTGGTTTCTAGATGGAGGGAGGAGGGCAGAAATCTTGGGCCAAAGAAGGTAAGCACAGTCACCTTGCTCATGGGCACACTGGGCAAGTACAGGCACGATAAAAGAAAAACGATGGAAGAGGAGCAAGTTCTTCTGAGGAATGAGCATGGCTTCTGCAGGAAACCACCTGTCTCAAGAAAAGGCCACCAGCTCTTCCCCTGGCCCAGCCTTCGTCTAAGTGCTAAAGCCTTAGTGCATGGCCCTTGCACCAGCTTGCCCGGAGCCAGGGGACAAGCGGCTTGAACTCATCTATGCTGGAACATGTAGGAAGACAGGCTGGGATCCCACCTCACCCCAAGTGACCACTCCAAGCCGAATGCCTGCTTGTATTTTCATGCTATCTCATGGGTCATGGCCAGCCTTACAAGGACAGTCCAGAGGCCTTTAGCACTTTGGTGGCCTTTGGTCACTATGAGACATGGACCTCTTGCCCTTCTCCTACCTTCACCCTGGCCAAGTGTCTCTGAGTTCCATGTCCCCCATCCCCAACACTGCTTGTGACCATGCAGGCCTCCTACTGCCCAGCAGGCATTCATAGAGTCTTTCTCATACACCTGGAGGCTGCTCCCACCCCCATCAGGTCTTAGTTTAAATATCACCTCATCATGGAGATCTTCTCAGGCCCATTACTTAAAACAGCAGAGGGAGGAAGGAAGGTTCTACTGTCAAGCTTATGTTTCTCTTTAGACATCACCCTATGTCACTTGGAGGCCTGTCAGCTTAAAGACTTAAAAGCTGCAATGCTGGAGTCCTCTTGAAGTAGCCTACACCTGCTCCACCTAGCAGAGACAGATGATTCGACCGGTCAGTGCCATGCTGACCTCGTCATGTGGCTGAAGGCCCCAGGGTACCTCGGGCTCCAGGGCAGCCTGTGATTGCCGATCAGCACCCTCAGTCTACCTGTCTGCCCCAGTCACACCATCTAGTTCCAGGCAAATCACAGTCCCTCTGGTCACTTCTGGGCTCCCTGTCTTAGCCCTGTGAACTGTAGTATGTTCTAAATTGAAAGTAAACTCAAATATGCTGAAAAAGGCCGGGCGTGGTGGCGCACACCTGTAATCCCAGCACTCGGGAGGCTGAGGCAGGAGGATCGCTGTGAGTTCAAGACCAGCCTGGGCTACACAGTGAGTTCCAGGTCAGTCTCAACTACATAGTGAGATCCTGTCTCAAAAAAACCAACGAAACAAACAAACATGCTGGAAAAGAGAAATTTATGTGGCACAAGTGGATGTGGACCTGATATATCTGTCAGTGAAGTGGCAGTGATCCTCACGGACATGCTGCACTAGGGAATGTAAGAGAAAGGCATGCTACTGAGCAGGTCCAGCAGGGCGAGCAGAAGCCACAGATGCCAGACAGTGGCAGGATGTGGTGAGGCAGAGTCTCTGCAGGTTTTAGCCAGCTCAAGGACACCTCCAAAGCAAACACAGGTCTATACTGATGGAGCTTATCTTGGCTGGGGTGGATACTTCAAGAACATTCACAGGAACTGGCCCACACTGAGCTACATAGCAAGCTCCGTGCTTTACTCAATGTGCAGACTCAGAAGGCCAAGAGGACAGGGTATGGCACTGGACAAAAGCACTGTCCGTGGCTGGTACCAGTCCTTCCTGGGCAGTGGCACAGAGGAGGCCTGCACTGGCTGCTCCCAGAAATAGCACCAGAAGTGCCAACTGGGCCAGTGCTGAAGACTCGCTGTCCCTTGGATAGTAATCTGAGCAACATGTTGGTCTCCACACATTAGAGTTCACAAAAGTAAGAGCCAGGAATTAAAAGTGTGTCTACATAAAAGGATAAAATTAAGTAAAATCTTAGGCGATTTCAAAATCTATAAAGTATGGTTCTTGAAACTAAGGAATGAGTGTAAATACCAATATGAGGTTCTTCATGTATTTAAGTGCAAATTATTATACGCTAAATTCAGCACAGCATGAGCATTAAAAGTTATCTGTATTACATGAGTGAGAAGCCAGGGGTATGGCTTATTTTCCACATCATACTGTCAGCCTCTTCTATTTGTAGTTCATGGCATGACATGAAAAGTACCAGGATATTCCTGTTAGTGGTGTTTGCATTAGAAGGATGAACCTTCTGCATAAAACCTTTATATGAGCCTTCTGTTGAGTAAATTAAAACAATCTTGAACAGATGAATGAAGTGACAGAAAATACAGTGGCAAAGAGCAGATGGGCCAGAAGTAAGCAGAAAAATTATTGTCCCCATGTCAATGAACAAGGAATCAGACATACCAACATGTGTATCAGTCTCTCCAACTATGAACATACTACACAGAGAATAAAATACACCTCTCTGTTCGACTGTTAATACACAATCCATGTTTGAACTGCAAAAGGCAGCGGTGGGCAACACCACAATGGAAAAGCAAGTGGCTAAGGGCATGCAGTAGCCTCTTACCTGGTCCCTGGTCTCTCCACGGATGTCCTTGCCCAGAACGACTGTATGTAGAGCTCATCCTGTGGGAGCTAGAGTTCTGTCTTCCCCACCTCCCTGTGGGAATACAATGTGTGAGCAGACATGACTTATTTTACCCTGGATTTAAAAACACAGCTGTTCCCAAAGTATCAAGTCTCACAATGGCATGGAGCGCTTCAGGTGGGGCTGCAGCACAGTCTGGCTCAAAAAGGAGCCAAATCTACACCTCAAAACCTGAATGGGAGAGGTGGCTTTCCGTTGGGCGCTGAGAAACAACAGCCCAACAGGATGCTTCGCCACCTGCCTTCAAGAGAAGATTCCAGCTCACCAGTTCTGCCCTGGGAGCAATGGGCCAGAAGCTGCTAACCCAGAAAGGAAAGATGAGCCTCACCTCTGTACCCTCAAACCAACTCAATCCTGCAGAGGCTCTTTCCTTGAGCACATTCCTTGACTTTAGGAGCTCCTCCCAATATCCCACAAACTCACTAACACAAACTTTTTGTACTATAAAATCTTTATCAATTTCTAAATATAGATATCCTGTTCCATTTATCTCCACTAGAAGCATGGATTAAGCATCAATGTATGTGTTTTTTAATCTTGGTATTTCACAGTGCTCCCACAAAGAAAGAGGGCCGAGACTGACCAGCACCCACCACTGGTGTAAACTACTGTTCCACAGACATGGGGCTGGGTCCACTAGATAATGTAACTTCAGTCAGTATTCCCCAAAGGCAGGCACATGTATGGCGTGATACCTTCAAAGATGGTCTGGAGCTACCGTGCAAACAAAGAGGAAGGACCCATTTAACATGCCCAGGCCACAGACCACAGGGACTTTAAGCACCAGCGAGCAGAGAAGACTGAGGTACCGCTTTTGGGACATGCTGAGTAAGCCCTGCACCTTCTCCAGGATCATCCCTTGTGTAGCGCTCAGGATGGTGTCCAGCTGGTCTCCCTGCCTCATTTTCCTCTACTGTCAGTGCAGTCACCATCCTAAGAACACATTTCTAATCACAGTACTTCAAAAAGTCCCCTAATTTGCAGCAGATAAACACACCAACTTTTGACTTTGGCATTTGACAGGCTTCTGCTTCTAGTTCCTACTTACTTTCCCTGGCTTTTCTTCCACTGCAGTGATTTACTGAAACCTAACTCTTGGCCTTCTTACCTACTACATTTCCTTGCTGCAGCTGCAGCTCTTAGCTCCTTGGTTCCTTTGCAAAACCCTTTCGCAACTGCTGCCCTCACAGCTGAGCCCCTGGGTGCATGGTGCCAATCATAAACAGCTGCCAGCATAGGGATGCTAACTGCAGTGCTACAGGTTTCCGTCTGGGTGAATCAGTTCTGATGTCTGGCACATAAGCTGCATACAACCCCTCGCCTGGGCAGCTGTAAATTCACAGATATCACCTCCATATGCACACTCAGGGAGGAAGAGTGGCTTTGCCCTAGCCTCCTCCAGCAGCCCATAGGAGCAGGCAACAACAGGAAGCTCTGCTAAGTATGGTGGCCCTTCTCCATCACAGGACACACATGGACAGTGTGACCACAGGAGCCTGGGATTGCAGGTCCCCTGATGATGGCCACCTCAAAGTAACCTGCACACAGCCATCAGCACGTCTCTCTGCCATTGAGCAATCACGAGGGATGTATGCATGGGGCAGACTCTGAATCTCAGCTGCCAACCACTGAGGGGAAACAGGCAATGCAAGGAGAAGGTGGAACATTTATTTTGTAATGAATAAAGTTTTGTTTTGGGATCTCAAATTCTGTCTATCTGCAGTTGGTAGGAGAAAGTTAGGACAGAGAAAAAGGTGGGAGACAGAGAAAAAAATGTGTTCTTCTGGTCTGGGACCAGCTTCACACCCTAGCTGATCTTTCCACATACAAGGTCCCACAGAAAAGGCTCACCCAGTGGGGCCACACACACTGCATAGCCTCTAGGAGTGGATTGCACACTGCTATCAAGCAAGGCTCCAGGGGACAGTCTGGAGGGTAGAAGCCTGAGATGAAAAGTAATGGGATTGCTATGCTTACAGGTAGAGGTACTATAGGAGGACATGAAAAAATAATTAAATAATTTAAAGAATCTCACCAGGGATTTAGCTTGGAGGTTCTGGTGCCTGCCTCATAAGCTCAAGGACCGAAGTTTGATCCCCGGTACCCCCCCAAAAAACAAAAAAACAACAAAAAATCCCATTAACAAACATGTTCAACTCCACGAAAAATAAGCATTCAATCAATGAAATACATTTCTTCATCTACCAAATTAGTAAAAAAAAATTTTTTTAATATTTTTAAATGCTATCAAGGTTGCCATCTAACAGATTCTTATTGCTGGTAAAGGTATGAAATGAAGAAAGGACTGTAGAAAACAAGCTGGCAGCATTTACCTAAAATCTGATTATATTTTGATCTATCATTTCAACTGTCTAGGGTATTTTATTTTAAGGAAATAATGCACATTTTTCTGAAAGCAATGTGAATGAGGAAAAAGGAAATAGCTGCAGATCTCAAAACAGACAAAGTAAGACTCTATGGCTACTGTGGAAAAATGCTCTCTTTAACAAGACTGTATGGTAAATTAAGTGGAACCTGGAAAAACGGGATTCAAAACTGTATCAAGTACCCACTATGACATAAAAGCACAGGGAAATACTGCAGAAATATATCATCTGTCAGCACCTGTCACCTTCAGGTGACAGAACTAGAGATCATTTTTATTTCCTTTTCATTATGTTCTTTATACTCTAAATTTTTCTAACATGACTTTATTATGAGGAAAAACTAAACCTAAACTTTTGTAAAGTCAGCACACTACCATGTGGCCTCTGCACTTTGGGGAACTGTAGGAAGTAGGTTGTATGCACAGAAAGAGCATAATTATTCAATTAATGATTCAGTCTTTTCCGAAATGTTGTTTTTAAATGGACCAAGATTTAAATTATTGAGTGGAGCGCTATCGGATTAATTTTAATCCTTTCTTATCATTTCATCATCATCTTCTTGGAGTTTTTTTTCTTTTTCTTAGTCGGGGTCTTACTATGCAGTTCAGGGCCGCCTTGAACTATGTAGCCCAGGCTGGCATCGAACTCACAGTGATCCTCCTGCCTCAGCCTTCCGAATGCTAGGATTGCAGGTATTCACCACCTTGCCTGGCTCTTCTTGGAATTTTTTACCAGTAAGCCTCAGGAAAACCTCAGACTATCACAGGTTCAGAACACTGAGTGACTGGGGAAATAAAGTACCTGGTCCTTGCCCACCTGTGTGGTGTGAGTTCCAGTGTGTTCGGCCCACGATGCGACGATTCTCTTTCATGCAGGCCTTGCAAACCACTGCCTTCAGATTGTGAAATTTGGTGAGCCAAGATCTCTGCAAACAGATTGAATGCTAATGAGAGCTGGCCACACATTCTGGAAAGAGGCCAACTCATACATAGCAGGGTTTGACACAGAGGGGATGGGACACACACCATGAGCAGTCTGTCCTGAAAGATATTAACCAGCTGGCTGCGTGTTCTGTACAGCTGAGAACACTGCACAGTCCTCCTGTAGTGTGATCAAGAGAGGGTCTCAGAAGAACCCCCCAAGTCTCTTGGAAAAGCATCATTAAGCAAATATACCTACCTTTCTCTTCTGTGGGTTAAGCAGTCATTGCTAAGAAACAACCTAGCTGATTACCACACAAGCTTACCTAAAGAGCTATACATCTTCTCATTCACATTCTTAATTACAGGTTACACTGAGGACACAAAACAGCAGCAAACAGAGGGAGGGGGCAGTAACCCTTTCCTAGCAGCTTTCTGTTTTACTAGTGAATATTCTATCCTATGTACTTGATTCTCCTTTAATTTGCTATCAAGTGTGTGGTCAAAGATCAGATACAGAAGAAAGGGGCCCACAGTGTCATCCATGGCCATGGCCTGAAGGTGAGGTCTCCTTTCATCACTGCTACATCAACACTCAAAGCTGAAAAGTATATTTTCTCTTACTTTGCTTTTGCTGTCCATGCATAATTTGGACTTCTTCTAAGTTCTGAACACAGAAATCCTATGACACCCTGGGATTTTTTTCCTTTGGTGAGAAATGGTGGTGGCAACACATTACCAAATGTTTTCCCTCTGGTATGAAAGCTTGGAGTGTTTTATCTAACAGACCAGTATGCTCTCTCAAAATCACACTGCCTTCACATCCCTGCGGGTATTAAAATATTCCAAATGAGCTTGGCGTGGGGCCTTATTTGGAAGTCTTCCAGGAACCATGCAGCGACTGTATTCCGAAAGTAGAGCAGCAGCCACATCCCCAGGGACACAGGCAGCCTTCTGAATATTTTCAAGTGCCCCACCACCTGGTCTGGGGTCTACAGCAGCCTTTCTGCAGAAAGTGAAAATTCTCCATCTCTACGCCCTCCCCAGGGCAGAGGCCTCAGCACACAGAGAAACCAACACAGATGCTCCTGGGCAGAGGTTTCTGGTGTCAGAGAGTAACTAGACTTTTTTGTCAGGAAACTAGTTGTGGAAGTATAACTCATCTTCATATTAATTGTGTAGATTTCTGAAGCGTCAGACGAGGATGTTTTTGCGAAATGTTTGTTTTGCTAAAGCTGAGTGATTGTTAAGACAAACAGCCCTGCTCACTTCATGTACAGACCAGGACTCTGCATTGTCAGATGTGCTAAAGGTTCTGGCCTCAAACCTACTGTTTCTGAAATGTGCAAAGCAAAATAAAACAAACAAACAAACAAACAAACAAACTGTGAACTCACATTTTGTTCCAAAAGAACCTCCGCAGCATATCCCTTTTCAGATTGCAGGTACTTCTGATGAAAAAGCTTCCCATCAAACACATTCCAGGGCATGAACTCATTTGTCTCCCAGGGGAAGCCACATGCACTATTGACCAGAGCCAGAGTGGTGAGGCCTCGGACGAGGAGGGACCCAAGCTGCACAGCTCGGGGGTCGATGTAGTCGAGCTGCAGAGACAGACCCACACCGAAGACATAAAACAGTGCCTTCACCCAGAAACCAGACACATGTTGAGTTCTGCTGACTACAAGAATCTGTGCAAGCAAATTCAGCTGAGGGAACATGAGGGGGAACCTCTTTGGGGAGCTAATGGAGCCACAGTTGTTCGCTCAGATATGGCTGCAGGACAGTGTTCCACCCCAGGAGCGTCAGAGCTGCAAACAGAAATGCCTGCTTACCTCCATCACAGAGGCGCCCACTAGAAGACACCTGCAAGATCACTACTGCTGGGTTTCACCTCTGGAAAACTTTCTTCAAAGGCAAGGCATCACATTAGATATGTAGGCTATGTGTCTAAAAATCACAATTGCTGTAATTATAAAAGCTTCTGAAGTTCTCATTTTAAATGAATATTTACTGCTTAAGAATAAAATGACATTGTGCATCTCAAAAAGCTGATTATAACAAAACAAGAATGTCATATCAACACAAAATACATGTTTTCCTTGTCAGATCCACATTGATGTCCAATGTTCCTGCTGTCCTCAAAGAGAAGGCACCCCTGGGTGCTGCAGAGGGGGTTGCTGCACTCTGCAGGCAGCTGCAGGTGTGCCTCACAGCTCTGAAACTCCTGGCCACACAGACCTCACACTCATATCAGCATAGTGAGTGTCCAAGTGACCTCACTAAGAACAAGCGAGTGCACCAGTCATCCTCAGCTCTAGTTCTGTGCGCATATCAACACAGTGCATTTTTACATGGATTACATTATCTAATAAGAGTACATAACACATGTGAAATAAATAAGGAAATACTAACAGATGTTTTACACCTTTAAAGCAATGCTTCCCTTATCAAAATGCAGTAAGTCTAAACATTTTAAGAAATTTATCATGAACTGGGATTACGTCAGAATTAATTCTAAAGTTTGATCAAAAGTTTTCTGTTAGCTGGGCATGGTGGTGCATGCCTATAAAACCACACTGAGGCAGCACGATCATGAGTTCAAGGCCATCCTGGGCAACTTAGCAAGATCCCGTCTCAAGACAAAAAAATAAAACTGGGTTAAATCCTCAGTACTGACCAAAAAAAAAAAAAAAAAAAA